ATAATTTTTTTTATTTTTGCTCTTAATAATTTTTCAAATTTTTCTATATTATTTAGAGCGCTTAAGATCTTGATTTGAAACAAAATTACTATAAAAATATCTCCGAGTCTTACAAAACTCAGTGGGAAATTATTCCCCACATTTCAGGGAAAAATTATTTAATAACATTTTATTATCTTTGATCATTTGGATCTTCATTCAAAATAAAATTTCAAAAACAGTGAATATGTAATTCAATCGAAAACATCAAGCTAATAGTAAAGATAATTTTATTAGAACTATTTTGGGATATTTTTATGGCATAGGTGATTTTCAAGATTTCATTTTTCATTTATTTATTATTTCAAATGGTGCTTTTGAATGATATTATTTCTTTAATATTTGTTTTGTTTTAAAATAAATATGTTATACATTAATTATGATATTGAATAGAACTGTCATACATAATAAGTATGATATTACGTACTAAAATTATTATACATTGTGCAATCTTAATTTGCATTCTCATTGTGCAATCTTAATCAATCTTAATACTGTGCAATAATAATGTGCAATCTTAAATTATTCCAATTTTTCTTTTTTGGTTATTCGATGTTTCGTTAAAGTTCGGGGTTTCCAAGTTTTTCTTAAAATTTTTGTTTATTTTGTCCGCTGGTGCAATTTGTAAATCTAAGAACTAAATTCCTAAATACTTTCCATTCTATGTGTTGAGATTTCGGAGCACTTCCTTAGAAGGATAAATTTTTTAAAAGCAGTGTTTTTAATTTTTAAAGAACCGATTGCTATATATTTTTAAATTTCACTAATATAGTTTGTATACTAAAGTTAGACTTTTTTGTACTTTTATTTATAATTTTTCAATAATTTAATTTGGCAATTGACAACCGAAAGAAATATTTAACAAAATTAAAATGCTTTCTGAATAATATAAGTGATTAAAAACTATTAATGGAAGAGAAAGAAATTCCCTAGCTATGTCCATATACCAAGGCATGCTATGCTTCTTTATTTATTTGTTTTAAACTTATACTTTGAAAACAATGCTTTCAACTTCGAATTTAATATAAAACTGTTTAAGTCAGGAAAAAAAAACTAAAATGAAAATCAATATTTGTTATATTTATTGATGTCAAAACATTTTTTACTTAAATATATTTACAGTTCACAGAGCACAAAAAAGCAGAACAGATAACAAAAATTAACCCAATCTGTTCAAATTGTGAATTTTGTCTAAAATAAACAATTTAGTAAACATGGCAAAAAACTGAAAAATCGAAATTTACATTTAAAGACCCAAATTTTTGACCAATCTGGAGACTAAACTATTGGAACCCCGTATTTTCAAGATTGCGTCTACCCCTCTCGAATATTTTGCTTGTCGAAAATCAAAATTCGTCTTAAAAATAGTTATTTTTATTTAGGGAAAGCATGTTTCTGTGTCTATTGTGGTTCAAAATATAATTTCCACAAATCAAGTAGAAAAATTAGCCTCTAGATACGAAACGTATCAACCATTAGGTAAGTTGTCAAAAATCGAAATTCGTCTAAAAAAAATAGTTATTTTTCGGGAAAACAGGTTTTTGTGTCTAATATCGTGGCGTAAAATATCATTTACGAAAAATAATTAACACACATTAGTATCAACCATATATATGGTTTCCTTGCGCAATGTATACGGATAGGTGTGGTATATGGAGGAAGAGGTAGTATCATTATATCTAACTCTGTAGTTGTATCATAACGAAAACATATATAAATTACTGTATTTATACGGTAATAACATTTCTGTAAGTCATGGTAAAAAAAGCTATATTTCTGGAAATGAAACCATAATATATGGTTTTTAAACTATATATTTGGTAATGTTTTCCTTCGTATGGTAACAGTTGACCAGATATTCTGGTTTTTAAAATTACAGTTTTTATTAACATTCATTTAACAAAAATACAAAACTGAAAAGAAGATTTAACCAACTAGATGGTTTTTATGCCATGATCTGAGGTATCATGATATAATTACCAAATTTTGTCACATTTACTACCAAGCAGCATGATTGTTAAATCATATGTTATAGTTAATTTTAATGTAAGTTATTAGCCCTTCGGTAAGAATTACCGTGCTCTTATGTTTCCTTAAAGTCAGAAACATGGTAAATTTTACCATATTCTGGTAGTTTTAACAGCATTATTTTTAAAATGCATAATTGAAAGCTAATTTAGACAACAAAAAAATAGTATCCTTGTCAGGATAACATGATTTTTCTTTACTAAGATACAAAACAGTATTTATCAAAATCAGATTTTTTTATACATGAATTTTAAATAATTTTATAGTTATTATAAATGCGCTGTATATTAATATTGTAAATAAGCAATGAAACTTCTTTGAAGTAGTTTTATTTTTTTTATTGACAAATAATAGATATTATATTGATTTCATACATCTGTAATAATTGAGATAACACAAGACAATTACATAGTTGGTTATAACAGTTTTGCATTGCTCGTCAAAAATTATTTTTTAACATGCCAGTGCCAGTTTGAATTTACATAATGCACCACATAAAATATCACAGTTTCATCAAAAAAATTTTAATAATATTTTTATTTTGTTACTAAATAAAATATTTTTAATATAAAATATATATAAATTTAGTTCCGCAGATAATTTAGAAATGGATTAATTTTGATGAAACTTAAGGTTAAAGCTGTTCTTAAATTCCGTACGAAAAATCAAAATTCATATTTTCAATTCTGATAAAAAAAAAATTCCAAAACTGCTTTAATTGCTTAGTAAAAATTAGTTTGTCAAAATTACTTTGATTGCTTTGTCAAAATCACTTAATTTATTTAAAAGTATAGAATTTTAGAAGTTTGTGTTTTTATTTATTTCAAAACATTATTTTTGAACGAAATTAAGTTGGAAAAACTACCAACTTTTCGATAGTTTTAGTTAAGGAGAGATTTAAATTGTGTTAGTACATTTGAAAATTTAAGTCAGAAATGATTATTTTTTAAAAAAAAAAACTTTTTTTCCTTATTTTATTTAATTACTCCTTAATTTTAAAAGTATTTCCTAAACTATTTTTTCTTTTAAATAAATACACGAAAAGATTGGGATTATATTAAAATTTTAATCTATTAAATTTAGAAGAAAAAATATATTAATTATAATAAAAAATATTTGGAAAAAATATATTTATAAAAATATATACAAGGAAAGGAATATATTCATTTATTAAATTTAGAATCTTTTCACATAAAGAAAAAAGCTTTGCTAAAATTATCATTGTGTATGGTAATGACATGCCTGTTAAAAAATAATTCTACTTAATAAAATCAAAATTTATAGTATTTGGTAATTTTTTGTTAATATATCAACGGTTTTCTAGAAATTCTGCTTCTAAAATTATAATTCTTATTACCCCACAATTAGTGAAAAAGGCAAATCTGAGTAGTACATTTATCCGAGTATATATGGTTTATCGACCATACTCTGAGGCATTATGATAAAATTAACAAATTTTACCACATTTTCCGAATTTTTTTATATATTCCAAAAACACATTTTATTGACATTTTTACCAAAATCACTTTGGTAAAAATTATTGAGCTTTTTGTTAATTCTATAGAGCCAGAAACACGATAATTTTTACTACCTTCTGGTAGTTTTGAGCTTATTTTTTTTCTCAGTGCTCAAGGCAACGTTTTTTTTTAAAGATAGGCATAATATTTACACTTTCAAACGAAACGTTAACTATGTAGTTTAATAATTAAAGGTAAAATCATAAACAGTATCATTTATGATTAGAAATTTTATCATTGGCTAAATCAAAAGAAATTTTATTAGAGGTAATTTATTTTTCGTAAAGTGTCTATATTCCTTTTAATATTGTGGTTATCCATAAACTCTTAAAACAGAAATAGATTGTTTGCTTGTTTTATAGATCTTGTAATATTTATTTTCAAACAGAAAACTAAAAATTAATACATAGGATTTGTAAAAAAGTAATAATTAATTACATAATTGAAACAGAGAGAGGAATGATATTTTTATCAGTCACTTCTTTCTTGTATTCTATTTTATGTTTTGATAAAAACTAGTTATTGAACAATATTTCTATTTAAATCTTTATACATAATTTAGAGAAGCGTTGCGTGATTATACAGTGTAAAAAACTTAATCGTGCTGATAGAAGTGGGTATTATAAAAGTATTATGTGTTTACATTTCTGAATCAGTTAAAATAATTTCCAGTTATAGTTGAATTACTTTTTTCGATTTTCCAATAATTTTTAGTGAATGATTTTGTTATTTGATAAAAGCACCATTCCTTAAGCTAAGCAAAATTATAGCAAAGGAATTTTGCAAAATTTTTGAATTAACTTGTATATTCACAGAAATTTAAATACATATTTTAAATAAATTTTTTTGCAAATGCATGCGCAAATTAAGCAGCAAAAAATTATTATTTTAAATAAAATATTCTTATTTTTTCTTAAATGTAAAAGTATTTATAATTTAATGAACTAGAATTTCATTATTAATTATGTTGGAAACTGCTGTTCTTATCCTTCTAAAATGTTTTCCTCAACTGTCCCAATATTTACCCCTTAAAAAATTTCCATAAGGAAAATTATTGATTTAAAGTTTTAGTGTCCTTAGTGATTGTTTGTCTCTATTGAATTTGACCCTCTGCCGCGGCCCCCCTTGTCTTCTTTCTGTCTGTCAAGTCAGAGATTACCTCTGCTGACTCAAATTATAAAAATAACATTTGGTTAAGTTAAAGAGGAGAAATTTATTTCGTTCATGGTAATTCAGTTCAAAAAAATACCCGACAAATTTCCCGACAAAAACTTCGTATAAAATTTGGGGAAAGAAAGTTTATCTTCTTCTAAGAAAAGAAGAAAAAAAGCTAAAGTTCGATGCTACCAAATAAATGTCACATAAATGCTTTTTTTTTTGGTATTTTCTATCTGAGCTTTTTTTTACTTTTTCCTCTTTTGCTGGTTTGTTTTTGCAAATTTAGACTTAGCAGTAAAGTTAAATGACTTATAAAGGAGCTATTTCTTTAAAAATATGAAACTTAGTTGGTAAGTTTAATATGTAGGTTAAATACTAAAAGTGACAGATTTCTAATATTCTTTTTCATACACAGAATTAAACCTCTTCAGCATAGTCAATTCTTTAAAAAAAAAAAAAACAGCATTAAAACTGTACCTTACTTATTTCATTTTCAAGTTTTTATGTAAACTTTTCATACAAAACTCGTCAAATATAATTTTTAGAATCAATGCCAGAAAAACAAAGTTAGAAATTAAGTGCATACAGCTACTTCAATGCTGTAATTCCTTACATTGGTTTAGTTTCACTCTCTCTATCAAAAACCTGCTCCTACTATCTTTATATCAATCTGTCACGTGAAATTATTTACTTTTAAAGAACAAGCAATTAAGTACAATTATTTACATTAAGATTTTTCGAAAAATTGAAGTATATTTAAAAAAATAAAAGTTTGGGTCTGCTGTTTTATAAGAAAATTAAAACGGTTCTTTATTTACATCCGTGTCTTTCCTTTAGCTCATGTAGACAAAGTTGCACCAGTACCAAATATTCAAAGCGACAAACACAAATGGAAAGACACATCGAGATAATTTATCCACTCTCAAAGCGGCTTTTTGCCCATCAGAAGTTATGGGTATTAATTTTGCTCCCATAAGACCATTCGGTACCTGGGCTGCTTCATCCTGAAAAATATAAAAAGTTTTTTGATTACAGAGAAGCATTAAATGTATCGAAGAATTTATTACTTTCGAATTTATTGCTCTTTCTGAGGTCAGTCGTTGTCAGGATAGAATAAATTTTGATTGTGCAGAATAAATTTTGGTTCACTGTAAAAACGAAGTTTACCCATTTTTTTTTACAGGACAACGGTACCTAGAAGAAATTGCTTTACAGGTAAATTGCACGAAACTGAGCTTACCCCTAGACTTGAGCGTTTCCTGTTGGCTTTTGCAACTTTGCTCTCTCCACTGGTGACTATGATGTTGACAGCCGCATATTCCATGAGCGACAGAAACACAAAAACAGTGCAAGAGGACATGAAGATGTCGATGGCTTTGATGTAGGAAACGGGTGGAAGGGATTTTTGTGACTGAGCGTGTTGTGTAGACAACGTGAGCAAAGATGTGACACAGAGTGTGACCCGGGCAGGAACGGCATCTACTTTAATCCAGAAAGAAATCCATGACATAATGACGATGAGGCAAGTAGGGATGTAGGTGTGGAACAGGTAATAGCCTAAACGTCTCTTTAGAGTGAAGGTCACTTCGATACAGGTAAAGTTACCTGTACGAAAGAAACCCTTATGAAAATCATATAAAAACATATAAAATAAAAAAAATCAATTCAAAATAACAAATACCTTATTATTTCAAATATAGTGTGTAATAATGCGTTTATAATTGATATTATGTGCAAAAGATTTTTAGGATAGAAGCTAGTTATAATGCATGTCACCTTGAATTGAAAAAATGTACAATGTGCTTTTGAGGACTCAGCGGATAGAGCGTTCATCTACCAGTGAGGTGACCTAGGTTCGAATCCAAGCAGTGGCAGGTTGTTACGAATTCTGATCTCGGCTTAAAACGACAGGGCTGACATAAAATATCCTCAGTGGTAGACGGATAAAGCATTAGAATATCCCTTTTCTATCGGGCTTTCATGGTTTTTCTCTCTACGTAACGCAAATGCGGGTTAGTTCCACCAAAAATTTTCCAAGAAGGCTTAAGATAAAAATTGAGTATTATATCAATAAATTCAACTGCATTTATTTAAGATGTAGCATCATTTACACAAATTTCTTTAATCATATTTATCTTATTTATGCCAATTTTTACAAAAGAGTGCGAATGGGCCAAAAAAACATAAAATTCTTTTACACCAAATACTAATTTATACATAATTGTATACTGCATACTATATGAATCAATTAAAAAAATCATGAACTGTGTTTTCTGTTTAAATTACTTTTACATGAATTTTGGGATTTCCTAGAGAATTTTTTTTTTAATCTAGTTGAAAATTCGCATAAACATGGAACATAATATTTACTTAACATAATTATTTATTCACTTGAAAATGACAGTTGTTCCTAAAAGTACTAATTACTCATTTAGAAAAGATTATTACTTAAATTTTTCTTATTTACTGAAAAAATCTTATTTTATGAGTTAGTTATGCAACACATTACCTGTAGAATAAGACTTAGTACAGTCTCCTAATCTTGTATTAGTGAGTATATGTTGAGGAAGCTCTATGTCGTCATCAACGACTAAAGGAGTCTGATCTTCCCATTTGAATACAAGGTCATCTGTTGTATATGATACTAGAAATATAATGAATTGGCCTATTATGAAACAATTACAAGCCACGTTATTAACACTTTTATGGTTATTTGAAATTTATATTTGTTAGGGAAATAATTAGGTGGCATTTAAGAGAAATAATAACATAACACAGCCGTGTGGGCAAAAATGTTTAAGTATGGAAAATATAAATGTCGTAAATTTGAATTCATATGATCCGTAATACTAGTAACTTCTTTCTACACTTAATCATAAAATTACAAATAATGTGCAGGTTTTTCAATTTTCTTTTCACGGAAGACGATTTCATATTTATTTCTTATGATTAGTCATTATTTTAATATAAAGTGTTAAATAATTTTTTGTCTAGGCATTGCCAAAAATTCTGGATCAAACTACGATAAAAAGTGACGGCATTTAGGGTACTGCTCGTACTTTTACAGTAAAATGCACTGCGGGAACATGTTATGGAACAGAAAATCCTGATAGTCCATAGTTTTTACAGTTATAATAACAGTAAAATCACTGAATCACTCTTATGAAATAAATGTTCCTGTAAAAATTAAGATATAATATTTTAAGGTAAAAATGGATTTTACGGATGATGCATCCAAAGTGACGATACTTTATGCTGCAATTTGATACAGAATTTTTTTACAGTGCATTGTTTTTTTTCAAATTAAATTTAATGTATGAAATCATTGTGTAACAATCTCACCAAATGGTTTATCTTTTATAGATAAATATATGTTTCACGACCCTGAAGTATTTAGTGACATTAACTCAACTGTTTTTTTCGCTTTCTTTTTTTTTAAGGAATAACAGTTATAATTTAGAATACAGTTTATTTTTTCTTCACTGTAGAATGCATTGATTACACTTTTCCCTCTTACATATTTAAATTTAGTTTGGTGCAAAATAATGTAATCCAGGTTTATATCCTTTAATTTATGTATTGTGAACATCATCTTACAATACGCTTTGAAACTCATGAAATTTAACCATATCTTAACAGAAGAAATTCCCGAGATTCCAAAAATGTCAGATGATTTAAAAATCAAATAGAAAAAGAAGAAAACAAAAGTGAAAGTCTTGCCGCATTTTGATTTGGTTACCAGAAATTTATAGCTACAAAGTTCTAAAATTGCTTACAAATTTATTAACGAAGGTGCTGCCAATTTAAAAATTTTTTTATAAAATAATTGATTTAAAATAAACGCATTTTTAACAACGTTGTGCAGACAGATGGCAAAATAAAGACCAATTCCGTTCAAATGTTTCAGTTAAAATGTTTTGACATGCAACAGAAATATAGTTTGGATATAGCAGTTGCATCAGCAATTGAACCTGTAAGTTATATGCAAATTTGATGATATTGTATTATCTGGTTTCCAAGGCAAAACGAAGCAAATTAAACATTATTTTCTTCTTCAATTTTTTCTTTATGAGTCTTTCAAATCGTCATATTTTTGAAACTCCCAATACAGAAACATCTTGCTTTGGAAATACAGATTTCAATCTTAGCAAACACACAAATATTTTTCAGCCAACCACGCCATCTACAGAAGAACTTTGTAATTCATGTTTGAAATTCGTACAAACTAGAATCCTTAGAAGAAATGCATTAAGTTGCACATTTTTATCACTTATAGTTTTTATTTTAATTGACTTTTTTAAATGCTTATTAACAAGAAAAGTCAGCCACGCCATCTGCAAAGGAACTTAGTAATTAAATTTTGATATTCGGAGAAACTAGAATCCTTAGAAGAAATGCAATAAGATGCTCATTTTTATCACCTTTCGTTTTTCTTTAATTGACTTTTTCGAAATAATTATTAACGAGTACTCTATACTAAAGAAAAATAAATTAAAAATATTGGCACAAAAATAACATGCAATAATAAAAATTTTAACAGCACTTACAGCTCTCAATTTTGAGACTGCACATCTGTGTGTCATGTGGATACGACTCAAATTTCATTGCGCACGAAAGTTCCAAAGTCAACCTAGTAAAATAGACATAAATAGAACTATTATAGAAAATAGTTCATTAATTTAAAAACTGTAGGACTTGGGTCAAAACCACGATGAGCCGCATATTTAAATTGCTCTTAGGAACTTTGCTTAGCGCATTATTGGTTTTTCTGTGTATTTGGTTTTATCTAGTGAAAGCTTCGGAAACTTGTTCATTACCTATCTGGAAACTGTATTGAGAAGCAATTTAATGAAAAAGAATATTTTTGGGCGAAGCATGACTTATTGTAGTATTGTACCAAACCTTAAAATGAGAGCAAAATCATGCTCTTTTGAATGTCTATGACTATATATATATATATATATATATATGCAGTGGAACCACCAGGTAGTTTTACCTGTATGTAGCGACCACATTTATTTACCCCCATTTTTGGGATTAAATTTATTACNTATGTAATAAATAAATGATGGTCATTATTATTATTATTATTATTATTATTATCATGATCAAAGTATTTCAATGATGTCGAAATTAGAAAGAAATATGATATTAATTATTCGTTGTCAAAAACGTATGGTCATAGATGTGGAATTAAAGACATCAAAATCAGTTTATTTAGAGGAAGAAAACTAAATCGATGTTTATAAATATTTTCTTTTATTAGATATCATAGTTAAGAGTGAAGTAATGACAACAAGTCTCATAATTGGGAATAAAATATTTGCTCATAGCCTTCTTCGGTTTTGGACGAATTAGTAAAAAATAATTTTTGAACCTCATTATTATTAATTCAGTTTCGAACAATATTTTGCAAAAACCTTTATTAATTTTATGCTTACATAATAAACTATATGTATTTTTGTGTACTTTTGAATGGAGGAAACCATAAAATACATGCCAGGTAGAAAATTTGTTTGATAATCATTAAGTATAATCATGTAATAATCATTTAAATTACATTTAAAATGACATTTAAAATGAATATGAATTTAAAATGATATTTTAAATGATAACATTTAAAATGAATGTAAAGTCAGGTAAAAGGTGAGTACGTTCGGAACAAAATAAAGCATAATTGTACAGACATACGGGTTTGCTTGTTCTGGTCTTGAAATATAGGATATAAATGCCTGGCATTCACGAGAATTTCTTACAAGATACGTTCAATAGTATTGATAGCCCAGTTGAATGCCCTTATTGCGAAGACCTTCAGCAAAATTGCACTTCTACACGTTGTTCCGTTCGGGATATATCTGTCTTCAGCTCGACTTAAAACTCATTTTAAATGCTGCCATGCGAATTTGTTAAATAGTTATACGAAATCTGCAATGTTCCTTTCGTACTTTTCCTAATATCTCTTAAGTGGCTCTATAATTGCTGCTAAATTTCTGACGTATCCACTTTTCATTATTGTGGTTCTAAGAATTATAAAACTTTTACAATCATTACAAAATGATATTATAATTATTAGTAAAATTTTTTGTGGTTTAATATTTAAAATATCTTTCTTAGATTTGGAAATTATTTTTCTCTTAAAATTCTAACTTGCAAATGAAAATAATGTGAAGGAAACGGAAGAAATTCATTTCATGAAGAAATATTACTTACTTAACCATGTAAAGAATTTTCTTGTCTCTGTAAAGCCAAATATAGTGATTTGGAATTGTCATATCTTGAAAAATGACTCTTTTGGCGTTTTTAAAGAACGCATCTGGTCGCCAAATATCTTTGAGCCAGTGAATAGGAAGTAAGCGATATTTAGCTGTCATATTTTCAGGCAAATGGAGTCTATGATCCTTCCAGCTTTGTGACATAAATATGTCAGCGACATACGTCTGAAAAGTAAGTTTCAGTGTTACATGTCTGCTAAAAAGTTAATTTTTTATTATGGCATTATTTCAAATAATAATCCAGTTTAAGTATACATAAGAAAAATGATAAAAGCTGATCAGTCAGACAGCATTAAGTATATTTTTAAAAATGAAGACCAGTTAGTCCGGCGCAAGGGGATACCACCACATAATTCATCAAAGATTAAGGATATTTTGAGTCAGAACTGTGCTTGGTGCGATCTGGGAGCAGATTTTTTATCGACCAATCAACACTAGGATTCTAAACTGGTTCATCTGTTTGGGAGCCGACAGCTCTATCCCCTGAGCTACCATGCCTCAAGACATAGTGCATATAAGAACAAGAGGCTGATTACGAAAATTCCTTTTCCATTGAAGACCACCTTATTTAAAATCTAAATGAATGTTCTATTATTGCTTGCAGTGTATTTTTAGCTTAACAATTTGTATATTTTTAAAATGTTACTTATTCTAACGTAATACTTATTTAGCACTTACTTTCGTGCATTCTTTATTAACCCAGTTTAGGACAAGAATAGAAATTTTATAAAATGTGGTAATATTATTCTTAAAATATGCTTTAAATTACAATCAGCGAGACACAAAAAAGTTACGTGTGGGAGAAAATACTTTATTAAGGAAATCAAATGGTACGAATATGTATCATAAGCCAAATCAGTGAACAAATCATTAAGTTGATGACTGTTTTTTTGTAAAATTTGTTTTATTTTTATATTATTTACAGAACTATTAACTCTTAACCATCATAAAAACATATGATTAATCACAAATGGAAAAATGATATATTTTCAAGAAGCTAAATTTGTCCCTATGTTTCAAGTATTTTTTTAAAAAAAACAAACAAAACAAATAAACTATCTCAGTTTGAAAATTTCGCAACGGAAAGTGCTTAATCCGATTAAATTTTCTGATATGTCTCCAAAACATTTAAAAATAGCAGAAACATCAGCGGAGAATGGTTTTAATATTTTCTTTCATGTATTACTGACTGATCATGAATTTCCACACATCTTCTATTTAAGCTGCTAAATTTTTTTTTTAAAAAAAAGCATGGTTTTGTAAAATGTGAACTATCATCTTCAAAGTGAATTTGATTTCTTTTTCTCATGTCGTCGCCTAAATTTGAAGTGAAAAGAAATATTTTCGCGAGTGGTAATGATAAAAGACATTTTAGAAAAATCAGACACTAATTTCTCTCTGAAAAGCTAATGGAAATACACATGACATTGTTTTCGTGAAGAGAACAACGTTCATCCGGTTTTTATTTAGACTTTTGTAGGGTTAAATTTTTAGGCATGTTATATTTTTGCGATTCAAAAGCGGTTTTCATTTGGATTAAGAGTGGGCGAGTGAGATAACCAGAGTTTGAACTAGTGGTTTAAATAGTGTTCGTTTAATCCTAAACTATTGTATGAGCCGGAGTGGCTCTAAGATAGAGCTTTCGTCTCCCAATCAAGCGATCCAGGTTTGAATTCCAACGGTGGCTGGTTGCTCCCGTCTCACACCTGCCACAGTAATGTCGTAAAATATCATCAGTGATAAAATATTCTCATGGGTAAGAATCCCCTTGCCGTCTGGTTAACCGTGAAGGTTTTTTGTAGGTTTTCTTCCCCACATAACGCAAATACGGGTTAGTACCATCGAAAAGTCTTCCATGAAAGCTAATTTGTCCTTGAATCATGAGTTCTTTTGTCTTCTGGGCTCGGTTCAAACTTACAAGGCTACTAAGTTGAACAATTTTAGTTGTTAACTCAGAATTGGGCCGGCTGCTCAAACAATAAAATAAACTATTATATGAATTAAAAAGACAATTATTATGATATATTTAAAAGATTAAAACTATGGTGTGATCGTTTTAATTTTACTTAGTATCAAAACTTCCTGAAATAAAAATGTAAGAAAAAGATAGATTTATACTATTGTTACCTAATAAATGATTTTGAGCAGTCATGGCTCAGGCTATAAAGCGTTCTCCTTTCAATGAGGTGAACCGGGTTCGAATCCCTGCATCGACTGTTCCATACGAATTACCCTTCCGGCTTGCACTGACTACAGTGCTGACGTGAAATATCCTCAGTGGTAGACGGATCATGAGTCCCCTTGCCATCAGGCTAACCATGCGAGGTTCTCGTGGTCCTCCTCTCCATGTAACGCAAATGCGGGTTAGTTCCATCGAAAAGTCCCCTACGAAGGCAAATTTTGCAGAATACTCGATCCAGGATTTCACGCGTCTTCTGGATTGGGTTCAAAATTACAAGGCTATACAGTTGAACATTAGTTGTCGTAAATCCAAATTTGGGTCGGCTGTTCAACGACGGTTATAAAATTATAAAATATAATAAATGATTTTAGCGTGATATGTAAGCATAATTTTACGCTTTGTCACCCTTTCACCAGTGCCAAATATGGAATTCTTACAGTTGACTATGGTACCCCGCACTGTGTGGTAACTTAGACCACACTGTCTTCTATTTTTCATACTTTAACTATATTTTGAAAATTTTTCATAGATGCACGCACATATTGCAAGTGAAGACGTAATCTTAACAGCAATTAATCAATAAAATAAACCTTTTCAAATTGAAAAATATATCAAATTGAAGAGTTTAGGACGGTTCTAATACATTCAGTTCTATTACAAATAAAGCTTCTAACTGCGAATATTGTTTTGAAAAAAATTAAACTTATGGTTCTAATTTTTATATGATCTTACGAAAATGCTTTTTTATAACTATTTCATTTCAGAATAAAAAAGAAACTTATCTTTTTCACCTACAAATCACATGCTACCACAATTTTATACTTGAAAAATGTTTGCTTATTAATGTATGAGTTTCTGATATTGCAAAATTATACAGAAAACTGAAATTGAGAAGACTTATATTTGGCCAAATGACGGATAGAAATTTCATAAAATTTCAAGATTCCTCCTCCAATATTTGCGAAATTTTTTATTTTCAAGAACTTTTGAAAGAGCAAAGTCAAAATCAATACTATCATTTTTCAGAGTCAACAAGAATAAGATAGTTTTTTATGTCTTTCCATGTAGGGTGATAAAATTTTTGATTTCTTATTTGGCTGTTACAATTTCATTTTATACTACCTTAGAACTATTTTTCTTTCAAATCTAGAGAATAAAAGATTTGTGGTATTTTTAAAATTTCAAATCAACTTTGTTTAAAAGAGATAAAATAACTTTAGATAAGCTTAGAATTTTTTATGAGGAGTTTCTTTTACTTTATAACAATCTAAAACATATATCGAAAAATCCCTTTTTTGTGGTTTTCGCATGTAGTCTACTCAAAGTTAATCATAATGGAAACTTCTCTTGTGCTTTTGAAATTGCGATAGTAGGCCTTAATTTTATGATGTAACTCGATTACTTCTGTAAAGGTACACTGTTATTTTGTATCGTACTGTTAATTTGTTAATTTTATTACTTTTCTCGCAATGTTATGAAGGATAAATACCAAAAAAAAAAAAAAAAAAACGTAAATAATTGTGCTAGATGACCTACTTTAAAATTTTAACTATATATTAAAATAGTGGAATAACATATTGTAAAAGATCTGCTATGGTATCAGTAACATAACAGAACATTTAGTTTGTTATGCAATGTTAAGATAGATAATGAAATACAACTTGCGATTGGTATTCCTTCAGAAATAGAACGTTATTTTCATTACAGGCATGATTTTGTAACAGTTTAAAGCATGAAAGAATGAACATTTTCAAAATTAAACCTTAACTCTATCTTTCACAATTCTTTGCAGTTTACTGAGTTTAAAATTACTGATTTATTTTCAGATAACTAACATTAGAAATACTTATAAAGTTGCTCATAATATTTTTTACAGATCAAAGGTTGTTAAACATCAAAATACATACCATTGAGCCCTCATCTATGGAGTCTATACTGAGTACAGTGATATGGAATTCAACGATCGTGGGAGAAGAATCTAAACTCAAACAAAAACAAAAGTGTTTAACAGTATAAAAAATCAGTATTAAAGTAAATATTCAAAACACTGAAACTATAACCGATTATGTTTTCATAATATCATACTGGATGTTTTCCAAAGTCAGTCCGCGCAACTAACTACACGGTGGTTGCAATTAAAATCAAATCACCTTGTTTTGTACAACATATATTCTATTTTGGTTATTGGATGTTGATGGAATTTGGTACTTGCGCTAAATGAACCAGGGGGGAAAAATCTGCAACAGATTTTGACTAGCCTTCCGCAGAGGGTCAAAATTGTGTTGGCAAGTTTCCGGATCATACTCAGGGATGTTTCCCAGACCGTTGCCAATAGCCTATTGTGCAGGTGCGTCGTAAATAAACAACAACAACCACAAAACTAGCCGGCCAGCATGCCTGACTGCGAAACTTATGGTTGCGATTTCAAAACCCGCTCAGAGCCTGGATGTTTTGCTCTGTATGTTGTTTTCTGTTGTGTGATGTGTGAATGTGGCCCGTCCTATGAACAGATCTGTGACATTGTGGCGTGATTAATGTTGCTTGCTTTCGTGACTAAGGTTCACAGGTGCCCACTGGGTAACGCTAAAAATCAAAACGTTCGACATCTTTTAAGGCAAATGACCGATAGTCCAGTGCCTGCCTTAAAAAAATTGATTTACAGTAGAGTTTAATCAAATACGGGGAATAATTTACATTATTTGGTAGCAAAAAATAATTACCGTAATTATCGTTCCTCAAAAGTCCATTGTAGACGAAAGAACGAGCGTCTACAGTAACATTTACTTTTATCAAGATGACAGTAATCTGACTATTGCAAATAACAATACCGACGACTTATTTCTGCAATAATTTAACGTACCCTACACTGTAAAAGTTCCAGATAAAAGTACGGTACAATGTATCGGCACTCTGAATGCGTTATTTGCAATACCCATTTTTATCGTAATTTTATGAGTAATTTTGTTTATCAGAGTGATTTCACGGTATTTATTACTGTAAAAATTACGGTACATCTGATTTTTCGTTCCGCAACATGTTAATCAAAAATGGATTTTACTGTAAAAAATACTGTCACCTTGAATGCCGGTATTTTTTACCGGTATTTGATTCGGAATTTTTTACTCCAGCAGCAGTTGAAAATGCTATAACGTTTAATGAATATGTTCTTGGCGAAAATGGAATGCACATTGACGTGTTTTGTGTTTTAGGATTCAATTAAGTTTTATTCTTTGGGCACGCCATTTTATCATCTAGTGGTTGAATTTTAAACTAATTTTTTATGACAGATTTCGTTTTCCCATGGCTCATATAAAGTGTATATCAAATTTCGTTGACATCCGTCAACCTAAACGGATTATAAGCTTGTTTAAACAGGATGACTTTAATTATAATCTTCCTGCACAAAACGCATCCTTTAGACATATATGAAAAAGATTTTTAGTGAAGTTTCACCATCGAAAATACAGGCATACTGCAATAACTTGTTGCTTATCTTCTTGAAATAATTTAGTCGCATCACAGTGTTGAAAATCGAGAACAAACACACATTTTAAGTGCTCTGTTTTATGTCTACAAGACGTTATATCCTACTTAATCCCAAAATTTGTAATTAACGCTTTTAACCTATATCGTACAGAAAGCTAACCCGTCAATTTCTGAGACTATAATACTCTAAAAGGTCTCACTAATTAGAACATAGTAACTTTACAATAAGTAGATTCCAATTTTATTTCCGTAGCGGATCAGATTATTAAAGGGAATGGAATTTTAATGTTCAACATTTATGTATACTTAATAATCTTAAGGAATTAGTTATTTGATCAAATTTTAATTGATAATGAGTATGAACGTAAAATAAATTACTAGAGCTATTTTGATAATTATATTTGACAACTAAAACGTATGGCTGCTTAGGTAAAGAGGGAAAATGTTTTTTTTAATGCAATATTTATAAGTATTACTTGACTTATATTCTATAATAACGTTCATAATATAACAAAATATAATGTAACAAAAACGTTCGTTGTTTGTGAAGTTAATGCGAAAAAGATCGTAATTTAAAACTGATAAGCAGTATTTACGTTTTATAGACACAATTACAAAATTATAAGTTAATAAAAAAGACAGATTTTTACCAAAATGAAAAAATTCGTACGAACTGTTACAATGTTAACAAGTCTATAACTTGAATAAATTTAAAATTAAATTTTAAATTAAAAGATTTTATCCTGATATATGTATGATGCCTAATCTAATGATAAACTTTGTAGTCTAGGGTCTAAGTTTATCAGTCCTTTTCAAGATAGAATGTTCAGTTCATGTGACTTCTGAGTTAAAATGAGGGAATTATTTTCACTTCATTTACGCTGGGAAAATAATCTTCACTTGGAGTATTATCTCCACTTCGACGAATTCATTCGATTGCCTTAGCATTCCGGAAATTTCAAACTACGAAAAGCTGAAATAAGATTGTAATAGTAACAACATTCCGACGAGTGAATAGATATATTTAAAATAGATAGTATATATTATATAAAAAGTCATAAGAGATATACCTATAACGTCAAGATGTTTTTATGCACTTGTTGGATATCTTGAAATATTTTTTAGATTCGAATTTTTTCATGTTCTGAAAAAATTTGTTTGAATGATGGGGCATAAAATCGACTATAAATATCTCTAATCAAACGTAGTTATAATGTTTTTATGATGACTTTAATTTTATTGTATAATCTATATTTAAGATATTTTAATAAATCATTACAAATTAACAAAATAAAACCTTAATTTTTTATGCATTTCAGAAAAATTTTAGCCCGCTTTGTAGTAGTTTATTTCAGATATTTTTTAATTTGCAGGGTAAAATCCTAGCAGCATGTATCTACTTTTTAATGTGTTTAAAATTTATAATATAATATAATATTAGAAATTAATATATTATTTGTTAAAAGTTAGTATAATACGAGGGCTGTTTTTTAAGTAAGGGTCGTTTTGTTGATTACACTAATAGGTTACTCTTACGTCACAACGAGTGCTTGCGTCGTGTCCTGGTATTTCTTGGGTGCAATTGTGTTCAGTTACAACTGTGTAGATAAACTGTACGGACAGTTCTGTATCTTTAAAATGTTCAAGTTTAAGAAATCGCCCGCCGCGTATGAGGTACTGTCAGTGGTGCGTTTTTAGTCGACAAAAAACCTGTCAGCTGCATACATTCACCGGCAGATTTGTGAAGTTTACGAAGCTTCCTACTGGCATGCTGACAGGAAATTTTGCTACTTCATAGCAATGAGTCTCTCCACAGCTCAGTCCCGAGCTTTATTGTACTCTTATGGCTGGGAAATTATGTACTGCCTCTCAAATTACCCAGACCTTGTGCTAAGTTTTTTTTCATCATCTTTTTCGATGTTTCAAATATCATTTTATGGACAATCAGTACAACGAGGACTAAAACGTGAAAACGGTAGTGACCTATGGTGGCAAGTTACTATGATGAGGGTATTCTAAATCTAGTTGTAAGTTACGATAAGTGTTTAAGAAAACTTGGCAACTATTTTGGAAAAAAAGAAAAATGAAACGTATGTAGAATCAAAAAATAAATTTGCGTCATGAAAATTTTCTTTCGTTTGGTTTTTATTTTCAATTTGCCCTTACTTAAAAAACAGTCCTCGTATATGTTAAAAATTAGTATAATATGTGTTGAAAATAATTAGTGTAATAATAGCCTGAACAATTTCTGCGTTTTCTTGAAATTTTGGCTTAGATTTCTATATTTAACGAACATTTCAAAACAGTGAATCTTTATAAAATTTAAGTTAGGAATTTTTATGAGTAACCCTTTGATGCAGATGGGACGCCTGTGTCTTTTTTTATACATTTTCTTCTGATGCTCTAATTACAAGAAAAAGTATATTTAGGTATCTTTCAATTATAAAAATGAATACAATATTTACTAGAAAAAATCTGTTGAATTATGAGAATTATATTTGTATCAAAATATAAATCTCATAAAAGGTAGTATGAAAACATTTTTTGTTCACACCCAAAAATTTATCAATAATTAATTTTGTAAATTAAAGAAGTTTAAATGATAAATAACTGTGTCTCTTAGACCTAAACAGCTGAAAATAAGTGCAAATTTGAAAAATTATTGTTTGGAAGATGCTAGCTTTAACGCAGAAAAAGGCGCCTGCGGCTCATGCCGTATTTCACAAACATAAATTATTCAAATTCTAAATATAACATTTTCCACTTATTTTGACTTTAAATAATACAAAAGAATGAAAAAAGTATGAAAATATGTTTAACTAAAATTCTGCGTTACAAAGGTAACATTCAAAGTTTACTTTTTCACACAATTTATCTATGGAGTTTGTATTTGCAAAGTAGATCTTAATTTTTTTCACAAAACTTAGCTTGAAATTCGCGTATTTTATGCAAAATTTTAAATTTTATGCAAAATTTTCCAACAAATAAAAAATAATGTAATTCAGTCAGTATATATATAGGAATCACTTCATAATCTTTGAAAATTTAAATCTTATTTTTTGGTTTTTTATTTCTTAAAAATTTCCTAGAGAATTTTCTTTTAATATCTGTGATTGACCAAGTATAAGAAGTCAGGTTGAAATATATTGTTTAAAATTTTTTGATTCGGAGAAAAAATAAACATGAAAAAAAAAAATAGAATGTTTAGAGATCAGGAAACTCAGGATCAGACTTGGATTTTTATCAAAAAATAGTTGCTTCAACAGAGATTCCAGTGATCTAAATTATGGAAAAGAAATCGAAATTTTAAGTGTAAGATTTACCCCCGTAAACGAGAAAATAAGCTAATTAAAACACAGTATGTAACATATTATAAATAGAAAACAAACAAATATATTACCATTTTCCTTTGGAGGCTGCAAATTATCATACTCATCTGGATTATCAGGTAAAATACTTTTGAAATCTAAGCTATTTAACCTAAAAAAAACAAAGATGAAAATTTTCTGCTTGGGAATTTTTGCAATAATGATTATAAAAATAATAGACAGATATTGCAAGAAATTTTAGTTAAAAAATGATATTAAAAATTAGTAAGCTGGAAACTTTAGATATATATAAATAAAAAATAAAATTAGATCTAAGAATTATAATTTAAAAAGTATTTACCTAGAATAATTTCGTTTATAAAGGTGAATTACATTTATATATTGATATTTTAAATATAATTTAATTACAAGTTTAAAATTAGAGAAAATCTTCCATAAAATATTAATTTATGTGAAACACGAACTGTAATAAAAATAGTGAAAATTTAAACAATTGCAATGATATTTTAAAATTTCATTTTTTTAAAAATTAAAACATAGCTCTTTTTTACAACATTTATTTTAAAAAATTTTACATATAAGGCACATATTATAAAATAAACATTATTTTTAGAAAATAAATAAGTATATAAAAAATTAACTTTTAATGAAAGGCTGACCTAACTTAAATTGAATGTTACAAAATATATTAATTTTGTACTAAAAAAGTCGAAATTTCGGACTGTGAAAAAAATTGCGTATTTTTTGAAATTATTATTTAGAAAGTATTGACGTAAAAATAATTAAGATAGGGAGTTGAATTACGCTCAAAAATTGATTTTTGAAAATATAGTTTAGTTTGAATTACAGAATTAGTAAAAAACCTCCCATAAAAAAGATGCAATATTTAATTTATATACAATCAAAAGTTTAATAAAAAATAATACATATTTTATTAATTGCAAGTTAGTTTTAAAATTACATTTGAATTTGAAATTAAATATGCATTCGTTCTTAACTAGCATTGCTTTGACACATCAAATAAATGTTGGAAATACTTAGACAGAAACTCTAAACTTCTCCAAGAAAGTTTTTCACATTTTTTCTTTAGAACAAATATTATTTTAGGAAACTAGTCACGTGAGAGAATATTTGATGAAAATAAATTGCTGACTCTCGAGAAGACATTCATTGCAAAATTTATCATAAAAAATTAATGAAACTACAACGAATGAAGAATACTTCAGTGGTAATGAAGGATGTTTGAAGAGGCTGTTTTTTTTTATAAATTCGTTAAATTACAGTCGAGATTATTCTAAAGATAATTAAGTTATTTTAATGTAGTTAAAAAATTTATTCTTGATGAATTGAAAGCACAAGCAATAATAATGAAGAGAAACCGGATGCTTGTTTAAATTAGATTTTCCACTTATTTAATCCTTATTTTTTTACGTCGAAAAAAAAAATGGTTTGAAAACTAAAAAGTGAAGCAAAAATCTTAATTCTTGCTTAAAACCCAAAAAAAGCTTTTTTTTTCTTTTTAAAATATGTTTGATTAGCTTTAAATGTTCAAATAAAAATTTGTATCAGTAAAAAATCAAATTACAAAAAAATTAGTCGTAAATTTATTTAAAAAATTACCTCTATCACATTCTCTCAATATTTTTTTTGAAAAATAAATCGTTTCCGTACTTAAAAAGTTGAAAAAATTCAATTGGTTTTTTAATTCTATACAGAAGAATGGATATGTTTTCTATCCTTCTTTTTTATGATTAATGTTAAAAAAAGAACTTTATAAAAGTCAAATGATTTAATAATTTTTTTTACACAAAACGATTTAATGTGAAAAAAAAAGTTTCAATAATGAACTTTTATTCATGGGGAAAATATTTTCTAGCCTCGCATCAACTAAATTTCTTACTGAAACTTTTTTATAAAAAAATGCAGTATACACAGGGGCCTCCATGACTGACCATTCAGCCAAACCGTTCGTACACTGTAAAAAATACTGTAAAATTTACTGTTTTAAGCCAGTAGCTGGGTTTGTTCTGCAAAAACGTAAAATTAACGAAGAAAATTCGTAGAAACAACGGTTTTTTACCGTACAAAAACAAGTATTTTCCGTACGAATTACGAAGAAAATTTGTAATCAGATTGTATTTTTTCTTTTTTTTTATCGTAACAAAGCAAGTTTTTATAACAACAATTAGAAATAAATCTGTAGCCTCAATAGACTTTTATCATGTGGGAACAAGTTTTCTCTCTGAAAGTTACACAGTAAATCTATACTCAATTCAGACATGAACATTTCACGTCGGCAGAATTTCGAACTACCAGTCATCGCTGGGAACCGAACCGGGAGGACTTCATTGTGAGGTGCACGCTCTGTTCCTTGAACCACTGCGGCTCTGGTGTTTTGTCATGAAATAGTGATAGTGTGAATTTTGCGTCAATGTTGTATCAATTTGGACAAAAATATTGAATCGCAGTTTTATATGTACGCGACTCAAATTTGTAAAGTAATAGCTAAAAGGTAAGAGCAAGTCTAGATAATAATCGTAAAAATTTTAGAGAAAAGATAAAGTTATATCACGGAACGCATCTAGTGTGACGAAAACTAGAATTTTAACTGACGGTTTAAACTCGTTTGTAATAAGGGTGAAAAATAAAGAAAAATTGTTTTATGATCAGAAAACCTTTAAACCAATAAATATACCGCAAAACAACGGATATTTTTTACAGTGTAACGGGCAGGAAGCGGGTTCGAATTCCACAGTAACCTTCAAAGAATTATTGTGATATCATTCGTTAAATTGAGCTATATTGAGCAGGGGCTTACAACATTGTAACAAGCATAAAATCCTGCATATGTCAGTGTAACTTATAATAAGTAAAGAAATGTCCATATAAAACAAGCAATTAAATTTAAACATTTGATTGTTGCGATTTTGGAAAACTGGTCGCAGCTGATCCAATAAGAATGTTTGCTAATTAGAAATCGATTTCATTATTCGTTAATCCATTTTTGACCAAAAGTGCTTAAGCGCACCATAGCAATAATTATTTCTCATTAACACTGTGAGGTATACTTTTTACTCATTTTTTTCTTTACTATTGTTAAGGATTCTAATGCCATCTATAAATTATTAATAATTCAATTAGAGTAAGCAGTTTCTGTTGAGAACTTTTTTAACTATTCGCGATCGCAGCGAACTATAGGGGGCGTTGTTGTATGAGGCTAATACCTGCAATTTCTATTTGAATAGTCATTCAGTTACTCTACAGATGTCTTTAATGTAGCGTGTAGCATTGTAACGCTCTTTCTTTATTGCGGCTTATTAAATTTAAAAAAGAAAAATGTTTGATATTCTTTCTTATGCAAACGAAAACAAAATGGTATCTCTTTTTTTAGAAAGGAAACATCAAAACACATAGGAAAAATATTTTTAAATAAACAGAAAAAATATGTATCTTCTTATTAGAGTTAGAATCTAATGCCTGAAAAATTGTTTTACTAAATTTAATGATATAACATGAAAGGCCTACTTCAACTTTTCATTCCATAGTTTTAAGAATCATATTACCTCAAACATTAAAATAAGCAAAAAGTATACATAAGCCTCATAATTTTGTATAATTTTATTTTGTTAAAAAAGGTTTTTGACAAAATTTTTTATCGAAATATTTTAAGTTTCAATAAAAATCGTTATTTAGAAATTAAAAAACGTGAAATAAAGAATGCTTACGAAGCAAAAAAAAAAAAAGAAAAAGAAAAAAAAGAAGAAAAAAGAAAACACACACACACACAATTTTAAAAATTCTTCACATTAAAATAAAAAACTTTCATGTTTTTTTTTATTCATAATCGGACATAGAAAACCATTCTATAGAGAATTATCGTCAAATAAGATAAAAAATATTTTCAAGTAAAATTTTTTATTTTATAAATTACAACACTTACCTGCTTTGTAAACCCGGAGAATTCCAAAATGATATGTTCTTCGATTTTAGACACCATTTTTTAGTGCTACGAAAATGCCTCTTTGGGATTTACCAAAAATAGAACAAGATGCAATTTTATTTTTTCAAGAGCGAAATATTTTGCCAAAAAAACGAAAATGTACCAATTCCCATGACATCTAGGTAAACGTACTTTTTGGAAATGTTATTTCATTTGGAATCTTATTTATTAGAATTCATATGGTGGCAGCATCAGGTGAAAGAAAATAGAGATTGTTTTGAATCTATGTTAAACTCTATATCGGCCCATTTTCCACCGAAATCCGATTCACTACTTTGATTTTAAATCAGTGTTTTGAATTTTGAGCGTGTTTTGTTTTTAAATAAAGTGTTTTATTTTATGATTTGTGGCAAAAATTTTAGGTGTAGATTGGCGGTAGGTGTAGATTGGATAACATAACATACAGCAAAATTTTATAGTTGTAAGATCTCGATATGAATTTTAATATGTGGCTTAAAAACTGAATAACTGAATTCCAGTTGAAATTATTCTTTCAAAACTAAAAAATACTTGCTAAGAAAACGATAAAAATGTATTAATAATCAGCACAAATGATACTGTTTCAAGTAATTCGGATGATTATTTATTGTTGTTTTCTGAATTATATAGATACAGAAATGCATACTATTCTATAAAGAAGAAGAATTACAGTTCTGTACGCTCTGAATTCACATTTAATCATTGGAATGAAGAAAGCAATGTTGACTTCACTTTAATTTGTAATGAATTGAAGACAGAATAATGTTTTTTACAGTAATGCACACATCTGTAACAGTATGCGATCCCGAAATCGGAAGTTATCAGTTGCAAGTTTGTTGATAATAGAAGTTAAAAATTATTGAGGAATTTTCTTTCAAATGTTTGGCGTGTTCTGTTTCTGAACGATTTACCAATGCTCTGACAAGTTTTTTCAAGTTCTTCGGCCTTTTCCTTAGGGAAATTTTGCTTCTTAATTGCTGCTTAGAAAATGTCGTCTGACTCTGCTAATGATTCTGATAGAACTAAATGAAAACTTAATAAATAAATGCCTGATATTTTCAGGCTCCCGCTAGAGGGCGTACTCAAGCGTTGCGATCTCGAATTCTAGTTCCGTAACTTGAAATGGTTGATGATAAATTCGACTTTTGAAAATGTATATTTATTCTATTTGAGATTAATCATTGTTTATGATGGATTAAAGTTGTAATTTTTGTAAATGAAATAAAAATATAACAAATTTCATTAAAAAAAAACTAGTGTTCAACTAAATAGTTTGTCCATTGTTTTGGCCAATGGTGCAAACACTGAAATTTTTTTTTCATAAGTAGAATATTATTTTTCATGCGCGAAATATTTTTGCCTCCTAGTGAATGTAATTAATAGAAATTTCAATGGAATAGTACCACATTGTATAAAATTTCTATGCTTGACCTAAAGAAGGTTAAGAATATGAGCCTATTATAGTTTGTATTTCTTTTAGAATTACTTGGAATATTTCTTAAGGACTTAGCATTAAAGAACTCTGTTGTCGTGTAGAAACTATACATTTTGATAGCCCTAAAACCCGGCAGTCAAAAGGCTACTTAAAAGTTGAAATTTCTTTTGTAACAAAAGCACAAGAAAAATTGTTAGTTTCTTTGGAGTATCTATAAATAACTAATACAAAATCCATAGTAAACTATTTTAATACTATTCTTATCATATTTTCTTTTTAGAAAATGTGAAATGCAATAATTATCATTAGCATATATTTTTTGAATCTGTATAAAAAATAAAGTTAATAAATATGCACATTAAGAGACAAAAATTATTTTTTAAATGAATAAAAAATTATAAAATTCTGACGAATAATTAGATACGTGCACTTTAAGAAGAAGAATTCCTCCCATATCCACCCATGTGATCTATGACGTCAGCGCCAGTTAATCTTTTTCAGCAAAATGGCGCATTAAAGATGAGCTTTGTTTCTTTACATAAGTTTAGAATGTTAATTAATTTATTATGTTAATTAGAAAATTAATTAAATGCAAAGCTGTGTCGCACATCGAATTAGTTGAAACATAATTTTTTTCTCGTCTACTTCATTTACTTAACTTAGATTTATTATTTGTTTTAGTACTTTAGTGTAACATTGATATATTTTTGTTTTGTGTACCTGGCAACTTTGATGCATAATTAGTTTTTTTTTGTCCCACATGGCGTCGTGCCTGTTTCTGTGTTAAGTCTCGGTGTAAATATATAATGAAGGAATTGAGATATTTGGAAAAAAAATCTTTGTGAAAGAATTTAGAATGTGTTACTAAAGAGAACTGATACTTGACGGGCATGACTTACTCGAAACAGTATGAAAAGAACAGTTGTGAACGTAAGCAAAAGTCACGTTTCAACAACCAATCAGGATCGAGATATTCACACTACATCACTCGCAGGTATCCCATTACCAGTGCTGCCAGGTGCCGATAACCGTTTACCCCCAGATAGCGTTGTAAAATCCACCAAAAATTTAAAGAAAACCCCAAAATTTTTAACTTAATGTATAAGTATTAAAAAATAGTACAAAAGTTAAATAATGTACAGAAAACGTTGCTTTAATACTTTTTAATATTTTATTATCAGCAAATTAGTAATGTGCTGCTAATTAAAAAAAAGGATGACCAATTGTATCTACTATTAATTTACTCTTAAACTGCTTTTCGTGTTCCCAATCTTTCTTGTACTTTTGTACGTACTTCTTTTTTTCTTTATCCTTTTGCATTATTTTTAAACCATGCACATCAAAAATTTTAAATAATTTGAAATCAAATTCACCAAACGTACAGGTTGATCGAGCAATTCAACAAAGGGGTTAAGTTCTAAAATTAAATCTTAATGTTTTTGTTTTGGTTTAACATATTGATTTTCATATTACCATCTCACACATTCTGTTATAAAATTTGATATTACAACGTAACCAAAATGAAACTAGTAAAATTCGCAAGTAACCCTAAAACAAACCCCTAAAAACATATTCCCCAAAAGTACCCACTGAAGATTAAAAATCCCCCTAAATTTAGTGGGAAAACCCTTAATCTGGCAACACTGACCATTACAAGATCAGAGCGAAAAGAGAGATAAAGAACATCAAAGATCAATTTGCTTTAGTTTGAAACTTAAAAAGAAGGTTCCTGGCAAAAGTCATCTGTAATAAATTGGCTTTCTGATGATTTTAATTTCTTCATTGTTTTGATCATACAAGATAACCATTATATTCGATTTTTATTGCCTCTTTTGCCCAAGTCGGAGCAAACCAACCTGTGAGAAATATTTTCTCATTAACTGCACTATAGTAAGCATGTAATACTTCTTCCTGTTATGCATAGAATATAGAACAGAAGTTTTAAATTTGTCTTTTACTTACGAAGTAATCTTTAAAGAAAATAAGAGAATCCAAGGCATCCATTTAGATCTGATTTTACTCATCATGTTCCACTATAACAAAGAATATTCTGCAAAACCATTTGTATTCCTAAAATATAAAAGATAATTAATAGTAAAACAAAACTCTTCGTCGTTGTTTAATGACTAGATAAATTACGTTAAGGTGATTTATATGGAAGAATTTTAGAATTGACGACTTAGGTTAACGATTGATGGGTGCATTTATTAGATTTGAATGGATGAATAATTAATTAGTTTTGGTTCTTCAACTATGGTGATATTGATGATATACGATATTTTATTATAAAAAATACTTGACCCTTTGACGCAGATAGAACACCGGTATTCTTTTTATGTATTTTTTTTTCTCTAATTAAAACAGAAATATACGTTGGTATTTTCTAAATTATATAAACTGTAAAACTAAAAAAATCTGTTAGATTTTCAGAATTGTATTTGTACTTAAATATAAAATACAAAAATGTGGTTTGGATTTTTATTTTCATTCACATTTAAAATTTCATCAATAATTGATTTTGTAAATTAGGGATATTACAATGACGAATAATTGTTTCTCTTAGATCTAAGTAACTGCAAATAAGTGTAAATATCAAAAATTATTGTTTAGAAGCGAGCCGTGTTTGGAATATTTTATCTTTAACCCTTACAAAAATGTAAGGTGTTTTTGAGGTTTTTTCGAGATTGGTAGATGTAAAAAAATACTCCTGAGGTAGAAAATAAGGTTATGTTTTGCATCAAAAATAACCTCACTAATAAACCTAATTTACACCTCACAAAATCATGCTCATATATAACTCAGCAATACTTTTAGTTAAAATTAAGTGAAATAATTCACTCCTCAACTGTACCTATTTGCTAGCAGTGTAGAAAAAAATAGCCTCTACACCTCAAAAAAAACCTCTCTAAGCTGGTAGCTCCAACAACTTTATACTACACACCTTGAGAGATTGATCTTTTAAGCTTGTTTAAATCAACTTTAAATAAACCTTAACTCAACATTGACGCCTCAAACCAAGCTGAAACAAACCTCAAAAGCACCTTTTGTAAGGGAACGCAAAAAAGAAATCGGCGTTTCATTCTGTATTTTATAACCATAAATTATTAAAACTGTAAATATAATATTTTTCACTCATTTATAATTTTCACTCATTCATAATACAAACAATAAAAAATAATTTTGAATAATACAAAAGAAAGAAAAAAATGAAGTTAAGAAGTTATTGAAGTAGACTTATAAGAAACAATGAATAGCGACTCTGACACAGAAGTAGATGATAATGAATCTCCAGTGAAAGTTGTTGCTTTTTCTGATGCTTTGCACGTTTTGGAAACAATGAAAACTTATCTAATGCAGGAAGATGTAAATGAAGGAGTATTTTCTTCTCATCATGACTTTACAAAAACTTTTTAAAGTAAGAAATCAAGGAAATAAGCAAACCTTACTCACGAAATGCTTTACAATTTCAAACTAATCATCTTGCAATCATTCACTGTATTTTAAATTCCTGAATAAAAAGTGCAAGATTTCTATTTATTTTGTGTCTTTGATTATTAAACATGTACAGATTTTTCATAAGGTTAATTTATTTTTTAATTTTGCTCCCGATATTACGAATTATCTTCGATTTAGCAACTGATATTTTCGGTCCCTATGAATTCGTTAAATCGGGGTTCGACTGTATATATCTAACTCTTTTCGATATACAACTAACACTTTTCGATATATAACTAACTCTTTCCGATACATAACTAATTCTTTTTCGACAGTATTTATAAATCAGAACCGGTGATTTTATTCTCCTACAGTTTAATTAAAACACCTTTTTCTTGCTAAAATTATTAAAAGCTTCTCTAAAATCAAAGCACAACTTCAATTTATATTACCTGCATAAATTAATTATAACATAAACTATAGCATAGTTTATTTGATTATATGAAGAGTTCGATTTAAAATTTTTCGTCCCTCACAGCCTATTGCGCACTATTCAACTCTTCATTGCCAACGCAAAAAAGGAAGTTTAATCTGTTTTGTGACCACATGCACAAGTATAATTTCTTAATGGATTGCAAATTGCTTCCCTGCTTTTTCTTATAACAGAAATATACTTTTATTCGCTCTAAAAAGTATAGTAAAAAAACATAGATAAACCTATTTCTTTAAAAAAAAAAACTTTACACTTGTTTTAGTTGTATTTTAAAGGAAAATAATAGTAAAATCGGGGCTCTAGTAGAAAATTCTCAATTCAAGTAGAAATTTTCGAAGAAAATTCTATGTATGAGTTAATATTTGAACTTGGGAGCAATAAATTTTCGAACAATAAAAAGAACGCATGCAACAGCATTTTTGCTCGCTCAGATGACAGACAGCTCAATATTTTCAGTTCTATCAAAACGTTCTCAGGAAAATTTTTTATGGAGCAAAAATCTAAACTAGTTTAAAATAAGTTTTAAAGAAATAGGGCGTAAGAAGAAAATAACTAAAGAATATTTCCGTCTTTTCTTTACGTTATGAGCGATGCTTATTTTACTTTTTGTATGGATCTGTCATTTATAGTTAAAGAATATTCCATTCTTTGGTAAGTATTTATTCCAGATATAAACATGGATAAGTTTAATTGAAATATGACAAATTCGAATAAATTTAATATTTTAAATATTGATATGGATATTTATTATATTTGTATTGGATATTTTACCTATTCAAAAATATTTTCTGTAATAAGAACCCTCTGGTTGCTAGAAATCTGCAGAGAGATGCGTGTCTCCTAATTCTCAGATTCTCTAGTAATGCCTTGATAAATATCAAAATATCACGAGAGAATCTAAGGATATATATATATATATATATACTGAGAAAAATGATTATTTATCACAATTACCAGTATATTATAAAATTGGCTGTGCTTCGGAGAACACGAAATATGGGAATTTCATTTCTCCTTATTTTTATCCCATATCCTATACTAACTTATTCAGTACTCTATGGGAACACGAAAAAGAAATTTTGGCTTTAAATATGATTTATATGCAGAGCATAAAAACCATTTATTCCGTTAAATTTACTTTTCTGTATTGAATTTTTCACAAAATGTGTCGTAATATGAACTATAAATATGAAAACCATAATTCTCGGTAGGTCGTTACCATATGAACGGAAAAATGACATAATGAATGGTTTAAATACAGAATATTTTGGTTTCATTAACCAGATTTTTTTCTTACCTGGAATCTCATTGTCATACAGTTCAGTAATTTTACCCGAATTTTTTTTCTCTTTATTTTCATCCCATACCCTATATTAACTTATTCCGAAATATTAGTAGTAAGAACTCTCATATTAGGCGGATTATTATCTAAAATACAGTTTCCGCAACTCTCAGGTTCTTTTGTGTTTGCTTGATAATTTGCACCAGATATTTCATCATTCAAAATTATTATTTGTAGTTACAGCTTTTAGATGTTATTGCTGTCTTTGGCCAAAATACAGAGGGGGTGCGATTGTTCTTGTTTTCCAGTGGCGCCATCTATAGTCAAGAATTTAACTTCTGACTCACCCATGCGTCACACCCGCTTATAGGGCGGTCCCATTCATACATCCATTCATTCGAGTTTTAGATGAAGTTTATTTTCAGATAAAAACAAATTTTTGGATCCTGAAATAACTTAGCCATCCCTTCTCATTTAGTACTGAATCATTTTTGTATCAGCTTTAACATATAGCACGATACAATTTCATTATTTTCAATTGTATTGTCGGTTTGGGATTTTTGGCTGCACTGTAAACAATTCTGGATTAAATTAAAGTATAAAGCATTGTTACTTTGGGTGCCTCTTTCATAAAATCCTATTTACCATGAAATCCATTTTTATTACAAAATATTAAACCACAATTTTTGCAGTAATATTTATTTACTTAAAGTGCTTTAGTAATTTTACAGTAATAATTTCTGTAAAATTTACAGTACATAACCGTTTTTGTTCCGTAACATGCTCAGGGCAATATGGATTTTGTGGAAAAAGTACCGGATTCCTGAGTGCCGGTATTTTTTATTGCAATTCAATCCGGGGTTTCTTATGGTGTATGAAACTCCTTCATCAGAAGAGCTAATTGTTTTTTTCTAAAATTGGTCGAACTCAAACAAGCATTATTTTCTATGTATTTTTATACTGAATTGAATGCTTTCAAACACAATTTAATAGGTCGAATAGTTCAAACATTTATGTAGTATTTATGTAATAAATTTATGCAATAATATAAAAAATGTTATAAGTAGAAAATAAGTATTTTTCAGTTGTATTTCTCTGCAATATTGACGTTGCTATATTTACAATTGAGGTTTTGTTTTTGTGTCTTTTTCTAGCTATACTATCGATTGAAACCACAGACAATGTCTATAAAATAAATAATATAGATCTTAGATGGGTTTTCGTAATAATATATTTATTTCACTATTTATATTACGCAATTATGGTATAAAATGTTTTTATTTCTTTCCCATTGCCCCGTAGACTCAATTCATGAATGTGAAATGTTTTACTAGTTACTAAGAGTAAAATACTAATACATGATATATCATGCAGTGTTTGCATAATGTATCGTTTATTCCTGTTTTTTCCCCTTTTTTTTGTTGTCGAAGCTTTGAGTTATACTTACGTTACGATGAATATAAAGTAAAATACAAGTAATAAGTTTCATAAAATCCAATCGACTTGTTCCACAACTATTTATCAGGAGGTTATCTACTTTGGTTAGCATTTAAAAATTACACCAAAAAACCATACTTCTCCCATTTGGATAGCGATAGAATTGCAAGTAAGTAAAAGTAAGGAATAAAATATTTTATACATAAGAAAATTCTGAAATAGACTTTTTTCATTACGCTTTTGCTAGAAAAAAACATTTGAAATAAAAATTTACTAGTCTAAGATATTGAAGTCAGATGAGTAAATAGATAAAAGCGAATCGTAGCAATTTTTTTAAAAAAAAACAACAACCTATAATAACTTCAAAACTTAGAGTTTTATCGTTACAAATTCAGTCTCATTCGATTTGCCTAACACCAGACG